CTTTTGAGGTGAATACTGACATTTTTGTGCTTTGTAAAGAATATTACCATAAATGATTGGATGTGAAATACCCGAACGTATAAGATGTCTGCTTCTCAATGACCAAAATTAAATGTTTGTCATTTTAACTGCTATACATCCAATGAAATTTTGCCAATAAAGTGTGTGGTTCAATTTTTTGAAATTTTTATATTTTTGTCAAAGGGTCAAAATAAATATTTTAATTGTCCAAATTTTATGAAAATTAAACAAGCCAAATTAAGTTTATTCAAAGTGTTTGGGACCACCTTAACATTCAATTATATCAAAATACAGGATCAATCTTCTTTTTCAAAAGATAATTTGAAACTGGGGCATATAAAAAAGCTTACAAGATTAAAGATTTGATAGATTTTTAAATATGTGCAACCTCTTTTTGCTATTCTGAAAGCTTATATGTGCCAGCTGAGACTTCTATAGTCTCAGATGACAGATATTCAAGTTTAATGATTCTAATACATGTACTTTAATACTCACACTTGTCATTTAGTCATGAAAATTTTGTAATTCCCTTTACATGTTTTATAGTAGGACTCCATACATCACTTTGAAACATTTCCAATTACTAATTTAAATGAAAACTAAAAAAAAATGCTGTTGATGGATTCAGATTTAACCCTAATTCTTAATTGGAATCATAAATGTCAGTATCCCCCATTTTGATTTTTTTGAAAAGCACCACAGATTGTGAAATAGAATGGCTTCCCTTAAATTATAGTACAACATTTATTATATATACATATTCTATTATATAATCTCTTCAGATATCACCATTATGGCAGAGCATGCACATTGTACTATAAGGCCATGGGGGAAAACTCTGAATGTATTTTTAAAATGCCAAAAGTTTGGTAGTAATTGGGTCATTTAAGGGGCTTTCATTTTTTATATTGACATAAAATTGAGAATGGAAATGGGGAATGTGTCAAAGAGACAACAACCCGACCATAGAACAATGTAGAACAGACAACAGCAGAAGGTCACCAACAGGTCTTCAATGCAGCGAGAAATTCCCGCACCCGGAGGCGTCCTTCAGCTGGCCCCTAAACAAATATATATACTAGTTCAGTGATAATGAACGCCATAAATATAAATGTATTCTAAGCTTTAAAAACAAAAAGCAAAAACAAACACACACATGTTAATAGTGATTGAAATAGCCTGGAAATAGCAGGAAATTTAGATTACCAGTGAGTACTTGAAAGGAGTAGTTTCTATATAAGGCCCTAAAATGGCCCCTATTTCTAGCTAAAATTTCAAATTCGTATTTATTGATCAATATCACAATGTATCATAGTGTATACAATGACTTGATAGGAAATATGTCTTTTTCAAGTTTTTGTTGAATATTTACATAATTGCTTTCTAATAATGACATCATAAATCACATTCATTTTGATTTTCCACAAAAATTCCATGAAAATGGGTAAATTTCCATTGATCTTTTTGACAGGAAACATAGAGCACATGTGTCACAGAAAAAGATCTTTTATATTTTAACATAATGCTTGTTATGACATTTTACATATCTGCCTGGAATATTTAGTTTGTTGACACCTGGGCTCTATGTTTCTGAGCCCCTAATTTGGTTGGAATGCTGACAATTTAAGTCAAACTTCACCAAAATCTCTCTTTCTCTTTCATGACTTATTTGGGATGTAAAAATCAACACTTTGAATAAAATTTGACAAATATTGTTCTAATTAGCTTTCTCAAATCTCTTTTAATCAACTTAATTTTTTTTTATCTTGAAACACTGAACTAAATAAACGGGCCAACTAGGCCTTTAATGATCTTACTCCTTTTTTTATTTTTATTTCTTTTTTTAATTTTTACCAGGATATGAGAAAATGGATTCATTATATCATCTTGACTGTTTATAATCATTTGTTTTTTTGGTTTATTTACTTTACATTTTTTGTTTCAGAGACCATGATGAAGCCTGCTTTCTCTGCATTTCTTACCAAAACAGTTAACTCATTCAGTAGAAGTGACATTCTGAAATTTGATGATGTTCGCATTAATCTTGGAAGTCATTACAACCCAAAGACTGGAAAGTTTACTGCACCAAAATCTGGACTATACCATATATCATATAATCTGATGGGTTATGAAAAATCAACTGTTACGTTTCAGATAAACAAAAACAATGAAGCCTTTGTATTTGGCTATGCAGATGGCTCTGGATATGCCACATCACCTTCCTCAGTGTTAATGAAACTCAAAAAAGGAGATCAAGTATATATTATGCATAGATCAAAAAGAACTGAGAAAATAATTGGGCAACTTGAGCCATCATTCTTCTCTGGATATCTACTGCAACCAATATGAATTACCATAATATTTGGGTTTTTTTTGTATCAATGTTACAAAATTTTTTTTCAAAAGAAAGAAAAATTATGACTTTATAGAAGATTATTAAAGCTATTTTGCATCTTTAAAGAATCCATTTCATTTATAGCTTAATCTATGCTATATCATTTAAGGTGGTACCAAACACCTTGACTAAAATTAATTTGGATCGTTTAATTTTCATAAAATTTTGACAAAATATTTACTTTAACCCTTTGACAAAAGTATAAAAATTTCAAAAAACTTGAACCAATCACTTTCTCAGAAAAAAATCATTGGATATATAGCAGTTTGACAAACACTAATTTTGAGCATTGAGAAGCTTAATATTTCCTGAACAATAGAATGGGATTAAAACATTCAGCTGATTTTTAAAGAGTTATCTCCCTGCAGTGTTATGTACCACCTTAAGGAATGACTGTAATTAATGTGCACCACATTTTTGAGGTTATTTCTTCATAGACGGAAAAAATATTACAGTAATTCCTTTATGATTTAATTCTTAATTCCATTTATAAGGAGTAAATCATGAAAAGAACGTTAATGACATCACGGTCACATGACAAAATTATGTCTATGAGCTGATAGACAAAAAACTTTCAGCCAATCAGAAGACATGTTACATCCAAAATTAAATTATTTATAAATAACGTATATCATCTCATTTACAATCATACATTTAAGAAGCAAACAATTTTCCTGAAAGTGGTAAATTAATGATATCTAAATTTCACAGGAAGATATTTTCAAAAGCATATGGGAAGCCTAGCATAAATATTCACTGATTCATACATTTGAATCAATACAAATATTTAAATATCTATGGCTAACATTCTGTATATGGACTGACCTGTTGCACAAATACTAGGTAACATACTGAAATTTGATTCATTTAACAAGACATTTGTCAGATCTAAAGCGTAGTAGTGAAAAATGTAGCTAGAACAATCCTGTTGTCTTTATGTGCCAAATAAAGCAACAAAGTGATATTTTGTGAAATGTCAATTTGAAGTTATGTCACAATTTGGATCTCGCTTAGGGATGGAAAATGCGTTTTATCATGTTTATTTTTGTGTTTACTTTTTCATAACTATGAATGTACCCAGCTGTATAAAACAATATAAGGTCAATGTTAGAAAATGTTTTTTTTTTTGTATTCGGCACAAAACAGTTAAAACAGTAAACCTCTCCCTTCCCCAGTTTCTAAGCCTCATACAAATACAGTTGATACGTTTCTGACATTAACCTAATAATGTATGTATCTACCATCATCCCTTCTCAAATTATCCCTGTATGTAACTTACATAAAATATAAATCTTCCCAAAAGATAAAATTTATCCAACAGGATATTTGCACAATTTCATTTTATTACGAAGTTAGCAAAAAATTTACATCACCCAGGATCCATGCCCAGTTTTTATCAGAAGTACCTGTTTTTTGCACTGCAGAAATACTAGGAAACATGCTGGGCACTTTTATATATATGCAATTGAAGCTAAAGGAATGTTGATTTTTTTTCAAGTCACAAGTCATCAAAAAGTTTTGTTTAGACATACAATGGTTTTCATCGTATTTGTACTTTAGAGCTATGAATGCCTGAAATTCCAACATAGAAAGCAAAAGGACCATGAATTACAGGTTTTATTTCAAAGCACAATTGTGACGTGTTTTATAGATTACCTAAAATATCCTTAGACTAAATGTTTATTAGATAAACTTAGACCTTGACATATTGTATAGACACTTGTCTAATGTTGAAGGCTATTTCAAACTCTTGATATCATTTAGTTATCTAAGTTGTTGGGTTGCTGTCTCATTAATATATAGTATATCATTAGTATATGTATACTGAAAATAGCTCGTAAGTTAACATATGTTGTAAAATATCTGTCAGCTAACAAGGGGATTTACAAAACACTTTTTTTTAATTGAAAGGTAGCATGGCATTATAAATAGTGTAAAAATCAAACAAGTATTAAGGTGGTACATAACACTATAGAGAGATAACTCTGTAAAAATCAGCTGCACGTTTTAATCATTTCTATTGTTAAAGGAAATATTAAGCTTCTCAATGATCAAAAATATCCAATGAAATTTTTCCAATAAAGTGTGTGGTTCAAGTTTTTTGAAATTTTCATATTTTTGTCAAAGGGTCAAAGTAAATATTTTGTTGAAATTTTATGAAAATTAAACGAGCCAAATTTATTTTAGTCAAGGTTACCATCTTAATAATTTCTTTACAGTGCACACAGAAAAAATCTTCCAAAGATTAAATTAAGTTATGAACCTTAACTTTAGTCTAATTCTTCAATGCTACATTTCTTAGTGAATCATTGCCATCCTGGCATATATATCAGCATTAATTTAATTAAATTCTTACAAACACATCTAAAATTACGCTAATTCATTTGATAATTAAGTGTCTAAGTGGTAAAAACACTTAATATTTTGGAAGTTTTTCAAAAAATATTTATAAAATCTATATCATGTAGATTTAACAAACAAATATAATTTGTGAGGATGGTAAAGCCATTTTCATTAAAAGCATTTCTGTGTAAAGCAGTAAATACTCTGTAGGTTTCATCAAATGATAAAAGCTTTTCCCATCTGTATGTAATAAGCAGCATTTTAAACAATTTTCAAATGATTGCTATAAAAACTCTGCAAAACATAAATTGAACAGAAAATATTGTACCTGCAACAGAGATATGGTTTCCAAGATGGTGAATGGACATAATCTTTTTCTTTTGGCTTTGATGCTGAATTTTCAGTTACATTTTGTGACTTCGTGTGAAGATGACAATTGTTCAAATGCTTTTGACGTTCCCTTAATTTCTATATTGAATGCACCTCTTAAAGCAGAGCTGGACATTTCAATTCTTACTGCACAACTGAAAGAGCTGATAAGACACGAAGTACAAGCCTCAGTCTCAAAAGCAAATAAAGGCCTTGTGGAAAATATTGTGGATACAAGTGTAAAAACTGCTGTGGACAATTTAAAGACTTATACCAATATTACAATAACAGCCTACAAAGAAGAACTGAAAGGTAAGAATATTATTGGCATTTTACATTTATTTCAATCAAAGAAACAATTATATATAAAAGTTAAGTATTGGAAAATAGAGTAAAAATAGGCTAAAAAAGAAGATATTTGTTCAAATAGTTTAAAAGATCTGAACTTTTATAGAATGAAATTATTTATTCCCTCCCAATGGCCCAAGCAGAACTGTTTCATCACAATTTTTATTTATATTTATTTTTAAACTTAATTTCAAATTATTTTTTTTTAGGGAGGGGGGGGGGAATCTGGGGGATAGGTTTCCAATAAAGTCATGATTGATGCAATTGTTTTGTATGTGGAACTTTTCAATATATTCAATGAACATCTAATATAAAAATTCCTGAATTTAAGCGGTACCTATCAGTAGCATAGGAGAGTTAAATTACAGTGTACTGCCTCCTAATGAGCGGCTTGTAGTCTTTCAAGACGTCATAATTATTTGAACTACCAACTACCCATAATATAAAAATTTTCCTTTTACTAAAATAAGTCTTACAAAATTCTAAGGAAAGAGTGGACACACTTAAATGTCTCGCCTGCTTTAATGTTTATGACTACCAGTAAATTCTATATTGCAAGTCATGCATGGTAATACTGCTGGTATCACATTAAGTTATCAATGATTAATTGTTCATGAGAAAACGGTCAAGGTCATATTAACACGATCGCAGATGGGAATATTTTTCAGCTTATAATCATTTTATACAATCAATATAGTTTTTTTTGTACAACAAAAATTGATTATTAATTAAAAAAAAAACTAATGTAATCTGATCTATGAAAACAATGACGTCAAGGTCAGATGAATCTTTTAAAAAGATATGTACTCCTCAATTCAGTTCATTAACCAAATATATTGTTTACTTATTTTTTGATAAAATCAAATCACAAAACATTAACATGAACATTGACCAATGAATCATGAACAAAATGTCATGGTCTAATGAACCCTCTTAGCTGGACATATAAAATTTACAATAATTCTATAATAGAAAAAAAGGATGTGCAGTACCCATCCATGACACAATATCAGATTGATTGATTGATTGTTGGTTGCTTAAGGCCAAATAAATGAATATGTGTGGTTCCAGTTGTAAAACTCAATGTTAACTAATGTACTGATTCACCAAGCTGTCTTCATCTGTTGGGTGCCCGTTCGAACTCCTCGTATAATAATCGATATGAATTCACAATCCCCCGGGTCAAGCTAAAAACCAAACTTCGGAACATCCTAATAACATGAATATATACGTATACGGAACTCAACACCACTTACATCCTTAAAAAAAATAGGGTCGGTCGGTTAGCAGTTTTATTTTTTTTAATTTTTTTTTGGGGGGGGGATTGGCAAAATTCTGGAAAAAAATCCTGTGTTAAGGGAGTCGGATTCCAGTATTATACATGTCCATACCTGAAGTTCGCCATTTTCAAAGTGTTTGGTTGTAAAATAAACAGAAATGTTACGTTTTCAGTTGATTTTGTTGCATTCTATTAAGAATTTGTTGCATTTTAGCCATAGTGGATACTTCTGATGGAAATTCAGATTACAGAAGTCTGTGAATTTAATTATTTCAATTCACATTCCTCAAAATTTGATCGTTTGAAAATTTATTTTTTCGGAAATGAAAAAAAAGTTCTAGGGTCAGGGGTTTTAACTAGGGTCGGTCTGGTAACTGGAACCACACATATAGTTTTATTTGGCCTTAATGTCAAATGCACAATTTCAGAACATGCACAGCAAAAAACACAAAAAGCGAAGGAACAGTATACACCATAATATATAGTTGAGCTATTATTTATATAGTAATTAAGAAACTGACCTCATCTCAGAACACTTTATTCTGATAAATCAAACATAAAAAGGAGGTCATGGTAATAGGAACTCTGTCTAACAGACATTTGACTTCTTATAAAGTTACGTTATATTCATTCTATAGATATTTTATATTTGACTAGAATAGCTAGTGTAAACAAGAAAGCCGTTATATCATGAAAACTCAATGTTAATCATTTAACCATGAAAATGCAGTCAAGGTCAGATGAAACCTGTCAGACAGACATGTACACCATACATTTGTTCTATAGACTTCAATTTAATGTAGTTATCAAACAAGAGGCTCTCAAGAGCCTGTGTCGCTCTATCGCCTGCATTTACGGTTGTTTTTTTAAATCATGTTAAATAAGGTTAAAATCATAAGTATAGATTATTAGATATTAGATATTATTAAATACTATAATGATATTTAAGATAGTAACCAAAAACTGCAAAATTTCCTTAAAGTTACTAATTCTGGAGCAGCAACCCAACAACGGGTTGTCTGAAAATTTCAGGTCAGATAAATCAAAACCTGATAAAGATTTTAACCCGATGTCAGATTTGCTCTAAATGCTTTATATATGTTTCGGATATATAAGCCAAAAACTGCATTTTACCCATATGTTCTATTTTTAGCCATGTCGGCCATCTTGTTTTTTCAAGCGGGATCATCGGACACATTATTTTAACTAGATACCTTAATGATGATTGTGGCCAAGTTTGATTAAATTTGGCCTAGTATTTTCAGAGAAGATTTTTGTAAAAGATAACAAAAATTTATGAAAAATTGTTAATAATTGACTATAAAGGGCAATAACTCCTTAAGTGATTGATTGACAATTTGGTCATGCTGACTTATTTGTAGATTTTAATTCGCAGAACATTATTGCTGTTTAATTACTGTTTATTACTATCTTTAATAATATTCAAGATAATAACCAAAAACTGCAAAATTTCCTAAAAATTACCAATTAAGGGGCAGCAACCCAACAACTGGTTGTCTGATTCGTCTGAAAATTTCATGGCAGATCGATCTCAACCTTATAAACATTTTCACCCCTGTCAGATTTGCTCTAAATGCTTTAGTTTCAGAGATAAACCAAAAACTGCATTTTACCCCTATGTTCTATTTTTAGCCATGTCGGCCATCTTTTTTTTGGGTGGGGATCATTGGACACATCTTTTTAAAATATATACCTTAATGATGATTGTGGCTTAGTTTGATTAAATTTGGCCCAGTAGTTTCAGAGGAGAAGATTTTTGTAAAAGTTAACGACGACGTACGAGAACGCCAAATGATGAAAAATGCTCACTTGACCCTTCAGGCCAGGTGAGCTAAAAAAGAGAAAATGACCAAATCCTAAAAACATTAATCAATATGCCATGAGCATGAGATCAAGGTCAGGCAAACCCTATTGGACAGACATGTACTCATTACATTCATTCAAAATATGAATGCATCAAATATAAAGCTGACCTATGACTTTTATAATTGACAATTTAAATTTCCATGTTCAACCAAACAAGCTTTTTTCAAATTTTAGTTGGATATACTTTAAATTTATTGTTTCAGAGACAACAGCTAAGACTGCATTCTTCACCTTTCTTAAGAGAAGCAGGACATTTAGCGGTAGCGATATTCTGAAATTTGATGATGTGCAGATAAATCAAGGAAATAGTTACAACCCAAACACTGGAAAGTTTACTGCACCAAGATCAGGACTATACCATATATCATGTAGTCTGATGGGAAGTTTTTCTACTGCTAGTATCATTTTTCAGATTAAAAAGAATGGTGAATTATTTCTAAACGTATATGCTCATGACTCAGGTTGGACAACTCAATCAGTTTCACTATTAATGGAACTTATGAGAGGTGACAAGATTTATGTCAAGCACATAACTAGTAGAAAAGAACTTGTAAACGGAAACAGACAGTCTTATTTTTCTGGTTTTCTTTTGCAATAAAAGCAAAACAGATGACTGAAAAAAATGTCCCAGAATTTCTGGAGTGTTATTCATTACTGTAAAAAAGACCATGGAATTTTAAAGATTTCTTTACCTTCAAAATGAGAGAGTTTAAAGAGTAACTTATAATAAACAAATGTATAAAAATAATTGCTTCTTGTTTTGAATGTTGCACTGAAACAGTTTCAATGGATTTTTACAAAGTTTAGCACTTAATAATCAGCATAAACTTTCCTATAATCAAAATAAATAAACTGCTTCGCCAAGCGCAGCTGGATACGACCGCCTAGGTCCAACCCTGAACAGTTGGGGCAAAAATGGACCCAATATTCAAGCTTGATACAGGTCTGAATTTGGATTGTAATTAAATATTTGACACCTTATAGGTTTCTGACACAGAATAAATGTAGTCAAAGAACTTAAATAAAATGCTCCGCTGGGGCGCAGCTTGATACGACCGCAGGGGTCAAACCCTGAACAGTTGGGGCAAGTATGGACACAACATTCAAGCTTGATACAGCACTGAATTTGGATTGTAATTAAATATTTGACACAGCATAGGTTTCTGACACAGAATGAAAGTGGTCTAAGAACTTATAATTTTTTAATTTACCTATTCATACATGTGATGGACTGTGAAACTCAGATCAGGAGATTGGGAAATTTTGGTCAGGAGATTAGGACTCAGATCAGGAGGTTTTTAATCGACATAAATTTTGTCGTAAATGTAACCGTTTGCTGTAAAAATGGTCTTTTAAAGTGTGTTTTCTTCAACTTTCCATCCAATTTATTATGTTTATAGTACCCTTGTACTTATAAAGTTTCTCCATCTTTATATTTTACATGTTCAATCTAACATTTTTTTTTTTCAGTATGTTCTTTAATTTTTTACTTCATATTCTATAAAACATTTATTGCAACCAGAACATTTGTTTAACTATCTGCAATTAGCTTTTGTTTGCATACTCAGAAAATCATTCTAACTGTAAAACAAGGGTCATAGTTATTATATAAATTTCAATTTAAGCCTTGAAAGGAAGTATAGAATCCTCAAATAATTTTCAAATTATTATTTTTTTATTTGTCCTAAGACATTTAAAATCATTTATTTACCATCCTTTTATGATTATTTGTTCAATTTATATTTTATTTATATTCTTTTAAAAGTTTTCATTATTAAAAGGAAAGTAACTTAAAACAGGATAAATCAAGGGAAGTAACCCAATAAATACACAGTTTTTGTTACACAACGGCAGTTAGCCTGAGGTAAAAAATCATTGATTACCAGTATGTTTGACACCCAAGCTGACAAGTGAAGCCATATAATTATGCATGTTAATTGATTTACAGGTAAAATATAACTTCAGGTAATGTGAGTTACACCAGATGCCTGAGATGATATGTTGGGCAGAAATTTTTCATTCATGAAAAATTTCATACACGGGATTATAATTTTCCTCTTCAACCGGAGGTCGGGAGGAGACTCCTGAAAACAGGATTATTGTACTCCTGTCGGGAGGTTCACATGTATGCTATTCAAACCATATCATTATTATTTGCTTTTATATATAAATCAGAAATAACCAATTTAAAATGGAAAATTTTAAAGAAAAAAACGGGAAAAAAAAATCCCCCCCCCAAATTTTTTGAACCCCCTTATGATTCATCGCCCCCACACTCAATCCCAGCTTTCCCTTTGTGGTATGGTACCTTGCAGTACAATTTTAGAGAGATCCATTCACTTGAACACAAGTTATTGTCTGGAAACTAGAAAAATGCTTGTTTTTTTGTCCCTTTTTGGCCCCTAAATCCTAAACGTTTAGGGCAATTACCCCCAAACTCCAACCCAGCTTTCCCTTTGTGATATGGAACCTTGCAGTACAATTTCATAAAGATCCATACACTTACAAACAAGTTATTGTCCTGAAACTAGAAAAATGCGTTTTTTGCCCCTTTTTGGCCCCTAATTCCCAAAATTTGGAGGAAATTACCCCCAAAAATCAATCCCAGTATTCCCTTTGGTGATATGGAACCTTGTGATACAATGTCAGAGAGATCCATACACTTACACACAAGTTATTGTCATGAAACTAGAAAAATGCTTGTTTTTTGCCCCTTTTTGGCCCCTAACTCCTAAAATTTGGAGGCAATTACCCCCAAAATCAATCCCAGCATTCCCTTTGTGATATGGAACCTTGTGGTACAATGTCAGAGAGATCCATATACTTACACACAAGTTATGTCTGGAAGTTACAAAAATGCTTATTTTTGGCCCCTTTTTGGCCCCTAATTCCTTAACTGTTAGTACCATAACCCCCAAAATCAATCCCCACCTTCCTTTTGTGGTATTGAACCTTATGGTAAAATTTCATTGAGATCCATTCACTTAAACTAAAGTTAGAGTGCGAAAACTAATGTGTATTCGGACGACGACGCCGGACGACGACGACGACGACGACGCCAACGTCATACCAATATACGACCACAAAAATTTGTTTGCGGTCGTATAAAAATTGGTTATATGATTTAAATTTATATTCACTTGAAGATTTCTTGCTTTTGTACAATACACTGTGCACTGTACTGTTGCGCATAACTTAGTAAATCTGTTTTCAGACTATATACAAAGAATTAGTGACCCCCCAATTTTTTTCTTTGAAAAATTGACAATTTCCTAAATCTTGCAGAAAAAAATCCCCCCCCCTTTTTCAAATAAAATAATTGAAGAAATTTTCTTTTTAATTTCTTAAATCTTGAGGATAAAAAGGTGCCCCCCCCAAAAAAAAAACCAAAAAAAATTGTTTTACCCTCTAAATTTTTTTGTTAACCTCCCCCCTTTTCCAACAAAAATAACATTTGAAGAAAATTTCTTTTAGTAAAATGTGGTACAGTTTAAGAGACATCAATACCCTTAAACATGAGTTATTGTCTGAAAACTAGAAAAATGCTTGTTTAAGACCCTTTTTGGCCACCAATTCCTGAACGGTTTGGGCAAATACCCCAAAAACAAATCCCAATCTTCGACTTGAAGTATTAAACCTTGTGGTACAATTTCAGAGCAATCAAAATACTTATACACAAGTTATTGTCCTGAAACTAGAAAAATGCTTGTTTTGGACCCCTTCTTTGGTCCCTAATTCCTAAATGGTAAATGGTTGAGACCATCATCTCCAAAAACCATCACAATCTTCCTTTTGTTGTATTGAACCTTTTGCTTAAATTTCGAAGAGATCCATACACTCAAACTTAAGTTATTGTATGGAAACTAAATGTCTTTGGACGACGATGCAGACAACGACATGATAGCATTATATGATCCCAAAACTTTTTGGTGGTCATATAAAAACATTCTCAAAAATGTTTGGAATGTTTTTATTATTGCGAATTTGCAATAGGCACCAGGATAGATTTTGCAAAAATAATAACTCGCATTCTCAATTTTGATAGCATTATTTGTATGTAACATCTAACACCTTAACTCCTGAAGAAAAAAAAATGGGATCAGAAGAAAGATGGGCAAACATATTTTCTTAATACTAGTACACATAGTCATAAGATAAACAGATTTTACACTGCATCACCTTGCAATAAGACCCCTCCCCATCCAGTCAAATTTTCATGTTTAAAAACCTTGTGTTCTAAAAATAAGAGATCATACTATCTCCTCTGAAGACAAATCTAATCTCCCTGGATGCATTGATAATCTATATATACTGTGGATCTATATATTATTTCTTTCTTGGATACCAATTTTCGTGGATTCAGGAAAAATCATATTTTCGTGGAGATTTGCTATCATGGTCTAGCCAAAGCCTCGAGCTCCCTACAGAAAAATAGAAAATTTGTACTTCAATTGGACATTTGAATTCGTGGATTACCTATACCCATGAAATCCACGATAATTGGTATCCCACGAATAATAATAAATCCACAGCAATCCACTTTTACCTCATCAAATAATTGCAGCATGATTGTTAGAACGTCTGGATGTGCTTTGTCTACCTCATCAAACAGTACTACAGCCTTTGGACTTTCGGTTAATTTCTTGGTCAGCTGACCTCCCTCATCATGTCCAATATACCCTGGAGGTGATCCTATAAATTTTGCAACCTGGAAAATTGAAAAAAACAGAAATCATCATTGTTGATAGCACTCCTACAACTGGAGTGTATTTTTATCCTTTAAGAATTTCTAAAAATTGGGTTATCTGTTATTCAGGGCCAGTATCAAATTTGCAAATTCTAGAACCAATATATATAAGAAGATGTGGTATGAGTGCCAATGAGACAACTCTCCATCCAAGTCACAATTTTTAAAGTAAACCATTATAGGTCAAAGTACGGTCTTCAACATGGAGCCTTGGCTCACACCGAACAGCAAGCTATAAAGGGCCCCAAAAATAACTAGTGTAAAACCATTCAAACCGGAAAACCAACGGTCTAATCTATATAAAAAGCATGAAACGAGAAACACTTATGAACCACATCAACAAACGACAACTACTGAACATCAGATTCCTGACTTAGGACAGGTGTAAACAAATGCAGCGGGTTTAAACGTTTTAATAGGAACCAACCTTCACCCTTATCTGAAACAATAGTGTAACATCACACCATAGAATCTGTTTTCAAATTTATTTCCCCGGATTATTTCTTATCCCTGAATATGATCTTCCTTCAAGATTAAATTTATGCAAAAATACATTTGTCTGATTTTTCCTTTATCATAAAACTATAAAAAAAACTTGATCTGAGTTTTGTGGTAATAAGCATTGTGTATAAGTTTCATAATATTTGGCTGCTCAAGGCAAACTTAAGTTATGCCAAATAAAAATATATGTGTGGTTCCAGTTACCCGACTGACCCTAGTTTAAACCTTCCGACCCTAGAACTTTTTTCCATTTCGGAAAAATAAATTTTGAACCATACCATTTTGTGGAATGTGAATGTCAATAATTATTCACAGACTTCTGTCTCATCTGAATTTCCATTAGAAGTATCTACTACAGCTAAAAATGCATAAAAATCTAAACAGAATGCAACTAAACTAAAAATGTAACATGTCTGTTTATTTACAACCAATCATCTAGAAAATGTTGAACTTCGGGTTGGTGTGTGTATATTACCAGTATCAGACTCTGTGAACACACATTTTTTCACCGCATTTTGACAAAAAAAATATTTAAAAAAAAAAAAAATGCTGACCTACCGACCGTACTTTTTCAGGATGTAACTGGAACCACACATATATTTTTATTTGGCCTTAAAGAACAGAAACTAAAATTATATATATTATTCCATAATATTTGGTTGAGGCAAACTAAAGTTAGAGAATAGAAACCAATTTCCTGACGTACATTTTCTACATAAGGAATGCCTGTGATAAGTCAGGAATATGAGTCATTTTCCATTCGTTTGATTTGTTTGAGGTTTGATTTTGCCATTTGATAAATGGACTTTCTGTTTTGAAGTTTCCTTGGTATTTTTGTTATCTTACTTTTTATTCTGTCTGGCCAAATGCAAATGTGCTCATTTAATTTCCTCTGCTGAAATATGTTCACCTTATACAAAGCTCTTTAAAAGTTCCAAACTATAATTCTTGAATTTTTCAATGTCAATAAAGTATTATGGAGCTTTATTTCTCTACACACTCTCTAAAATAAGCCAGTGAACCCTTGTCGTTTTGACTAGGCACCTTATCAGTATTTTTATCAGTTAACTGCATAACTTCAAATTAACATGTCATTTATATTAACCCCATGCTGCTAGGTACACAGCATCATTCAATGAAACATGATCAGAGATAAAAATAGATTTTAACTCTGAATCAGATCTTTCCTTCACAATACATGAATACAACATATATAAAGAAAAAGGGGGGGGGGGGGGGGGGGGGGGGGGGTGGCTGGGTTAAAAAAATTATCTATAATTTAAAAATAAGCTGTTGTATTCAGATTTAAAAGGTGAATGTGAAATATAAACCTATTTTATATATATATTTCAGACAGTTTAACAAAATACTATATATATGCATTTTAAAAAAAGATCATATAACTCTAATATATCTTTAAAAAAAATATATGTCATCAAGGATTTACAAAAATATATTAAATGACAATCATACCATACATTTATGATAAAAAGTTGCTGAACATCTTTACAATAAAGACATGAATCTTAAGTGCAGGTATAAGAAACACGAACATAAATAATAACTTCAGGGAAAATTGAAAATCAGAAAACAAAAAAGAGAAAAATGATGGAGAAAATGAAATAAATTAATTTGTTTCTAATATCTGATAGAATTTGCTGCAGATATTTTGTCTAGAACTTGCACATGAATTATACATTAACTTCAATAAAAATGGTTTAAAAATTTGTGTAAAATGTACACAAGCATTTTGCATTTACTTTTATGAAATATGGTTTTTTTCCAAAATGTACACTGGATTTTTGCACGTCCTTCAAATTGAAAAAAAAAATATCTTTATTATAAATAAGCATTGTATTTTAATAAAGTCAGTTTCATAGGGTCAACAACTGTCATCATCATATACATTTATTTAGACGAAGTATTAGCCTTAGATGGCGTTGATGTAAGCATTTTTTTCTTTCCTTCCCTTTCTGTGGTGTTTCATTCATTTGTCTTTTATGGTTTCCTAACAAATGTTCAATGTTTTCCCGAGCTAGAGGTCCAAAATGGTACTCAACTTCACCTGTTTCTGTCATTTCAAACAGTCCTTTTCTAAAAAGTTTGGCAATTTTGCCATTGAATCTCCAGTAGTTTCCAAATATTCAATTTGCAAATTAACCAGCTCTGCCATTCTTTCTAAACAAGATTCAGGGGGTAGCCACAATTTTGCATTTCGAAGTAGGCTTGTGTCCATCTGGTCATTTGATTTCCGCTGTTTGCAAAACATTGAGTTGTGTCTTACTTCTTCAAAAGAAACTTGAATGTTAGACATAGAAGAAAACAAGGTTTTGATAAAATCTTTGTACACTGTTGTATTAAGTTGGTGGATATTTTTCTCAGATTTCTGGAACAAGTTCAGACAGAAATGTTCATTTGACATAAATAAACTTAGCATCTTCTTATGTGAAATATTATGGAACTTTGGGATAAAATCATTGCCTCCCATACAAAGAACAATGGATACTTTTTTCACGATATCATCCTCATTTTTAAAACTACTTTTTAAGATTTCCATTATGTCTGTAACATTGTATATGTCCATTTTTTTGTGTGGCTTTTGTAAAATCACAGAAACAGTGTGACTGTATCTTCCATTTACTTGTGGCCACTTCTTGGATAATGAATAAAGATGTATCGGAATTGCATCAATATCACCTGATGTTAGTATGCTACAAGCTGACATAGAGGGAGATAAGTTCAATCGTTCATCAAGAAGCCAGTCTATCTGGGACATTTCTGCCTCCCCCTTTCTTTGAGAGACAGTGGTCAAATCCTGAACAATTGGTTGTTGCTGTGATTTTTTAAAGATGCACCTTATTAGTGTTGTGTAATACTCACAGTTACAATGTTCCCCATGCTGGCATTGAATTCTTTGTAGATTCAATTCGCTATCTATATCGAGTATAACATTGGCATCTATTCGCAGGTCTACAGCATATGCAGCCAAAAACTTACTTATCAGACTTTTCCCTTCTCTGGTGGTTATGATGTCATCTTTCCTAAAAGTTGCAGCATTTATGGCGGCATCTGGATCTCTAAGATGTGATATTGTTAATTTCTCCTTAGCTTTTCTTTGTTGATGTGTAGCTGCTTTAAAATGGTCAGGTGTGAATGAATATTTTTCTTCGCATAAAACAACTCTTTCTAGATTTGGCAAGCTTTGTACTATATTTTTTAAAACAGCATTTTGGACATATCTGATGTACTGGATTCCTGAAGACACTTTAGCCTTAAACTTTACACCTGCAAATTCTACGGTTGCCATTTGAATTGAAGTTGATATGGTATTGGGTATTGTATTAGTACCAAGTGTTATCAAATCTTTCTTTTCACTCTTTAGATCAGCAAGCATTGAAATTAATGCCTCTTGAATACCTTTAGACTTCATCACTTTTGGCTTTGAACAGTCAGGTTTTACTAGTGACTGACACATATTCATCTCCGAACTCAGCAAGTCAGCCATTTGGTTTTCCTTCTTAAGAGACTTATTTCTCTTCTCTTCTTTAAGTTCTCTTTCTGATTTTGTTATTGTTGTTGTTTTTTCTAATGTCCTTTTTAAGGTAATGCCTTTGCTCCTTTTGGCTTTTGATAAAAGTGTGGGAGGCCCCTTGAAATTTCTTATGTCAGGCATGTCATCTGTTTTCATCCCCAATAGCTGATTGTTTACTAGAAATCGTTTTACGAGATACTTTCCAACATCAAATGTGATTTCATCTAAAATTGCAGGTGGAAGAAACAACTTTTTAGTACTGTAGACATTTTCAGGCATTGTGTTTTCTTCCAAGTTTAATCCTCCTCTACGTAGTATCAATGAGGCTGTTGGTATGATGTGGTTCAAATCAACTTCTGTCAATTTCCATTCAACATCCGACTGATTGGTTTCATTGGGTCCATTATCATAACTTTTCTCTCTGTCATTTGTCCTTCTATGGTGTGTTTCATTTAATGAATCTATCAGAGACATTCTACTGGTTACAGCGGGAAGTGTAGAACCAGATCTAAATCCGCGTAGAACATCCTGATGATCCATTTCCCTCTTTGAATCACTGGCAAAATTGGTTGAAGAATTTCCAATTGGTGTTGTATACAGTGTTTTCTTCATACACTGGTGAAAATGACCTGCACTAAAATGCTCAAGTAGCAGTCGTACACAAAATGGACCATATGAAGATGCACCATTTAAAAACGAAAATAGTAATGATGATTTTACTGCACCTAAAAGTAGATTGTATCCATCAAATCCTCCTAAACGTTCTGCCAAATAAACTGCAACCACTTCATCACAATGCTGCATCATTTCCATGTGCAATCTAAATGTTGCATTTTTTGAACTCCCAGCGTCCATAAATTCACTAAGTTGTTTGTGCCAGGTCTCCGATGATAGTTGACCACTTTCCAGCATATCAAGGACAGACTCA